TAGCATGGAGTCATTGATGCCAGGCCCATCCACCACGGGTCCAATGGAAGTCGTGCGCAGGGAAGTGTTGATCGTGACAGATTCTCCAGAGCCATCCCCTGTGGAAACACCTTGTTGCCCTGGCTCAAGCACCTCAGCTGAAGCTGCGCACTATTCAGGCAAGCAAACATGAAGATTGCCGAGGAGAGATGCAAAAGAATTACACAATCAATCACAATCACATGTTTGAAGAAAGCTTCCAGGAGTTGAATTCCCTGCGCTCTGGCTGGACTTCGCTAATTTCAACTCAGCTGCTTGGTTCAGAAAAGTCGACTTTCCTGTCTGCGTTTGGCCGTAGAGTACAATCGCATGGTCCGCCATGGGCTTGACAAGGCGAGTGGATAACAACGTTTGAGCAAGTATCGCTAGGTCTATGAAGAGTTATATATGCAGTGTCACGGCGACAAGAGATCATGGCAGGCGTGGGACCCATCTGCAAACATAAAAGGGCACCTCCGCTGCCGCCTCCCATTCACAGAACGTGTGACATACAGTACTCAGTACTCCTTTTGGCGGAAACTGTTATAGCTAAAATAGCACAGGAAAGTACAGGACAAGATTAGTTTGAAAACCATAGGAACACATAAAATATCGTAAAATTATATACATAAAACAATGGTCCTTCTTTGCGGCACTTCTGTCAGCCTGGCATGTCTTCGCTCAAAGTCTGCTTGCGAGTTCGATCGAGTTCCCAGTTGCAAGTCTGCGCAATCAGTTCCAATCAATGAAGATCAACCAGCTACCAGCGAAACATGTGCTTTTGGATAATCAAACTTCTCTTTCATCTGCACACATCCAGGCTCTATCTCCATCACCGACTCGGATAGATGCTCCGACCGGATCAATGGATCGGTTAGGTCACGGAGACGTGGTGACCCTTTTTTTGCGCCAACCTCGTCACGCGTCACAGATTCTCCGGGCGATGCGGACATGACCTGACGGCCGATGTGTGATGATTCTCCCTCTGTCCATCTCCCTCCCCCTGGGTATGGTGGAGCCGTCCAAAAAAATGGACTAGTTACCAGTTATCAGGGAGATCAGGTCCAAGTTTTGACCCACTCCCATGTGGCACTTCAAGCAAGCACCATTTACAAGTGGATAAGCCAAAGGAATTGCTGACTGCTGCGCTTGACTTCTGTCTTCATGTCCCCATCTTCTGCGTCCCTCCCAGGCCTTCACATGCAACACGCTCCCATAACTCATAGAGCATCATGCAAATGACTTTGGGCGCCATCTAGGCAGGGCTCAAACACTTCACGCACGAAAATGGGTCATGGCAAGTGGTCACCTCAGTTTCCCCCCAAACAATCCCAAACATTCTTCAATAACTTCTCAGCTAAAAAGGCTGCCAGTTGGCGGCAAGCAACTAGAATAGAACATGCATGCACTTGGAAGATTGGATTGATCTTGAGGATTCTTCAAGCTTGAAGCATGGTGAATACAAAATTCATTGTAGGATGATGGGTATGAAGCTGAGAATCCAAATCATGCACGGTTGCAGTGCATGTGGCAAACAATTGAGGTATAGGGTGGCTTCTGTGTGCGGACTGAAACACTGATGTTTGGGCAAGGCTCGGAGAGATTCTCAACCTTCCGCACCGGTCTGGAAATGTCGCATTCCATATAGAATGCAGCTCAGGATCTGCTGCAGTAACCAAAGCGAGTGCAGGGCATGCTTCCTTTTGGACCGCACGAGGTTCAGGGTTTCCCGAACCATGCTGTACATAGAAGCTGCGAAACCCACGGGTTGCAAATTGCAGCTACTCTCTCCACTAAGCGGCAGTTCAAGAAAACTTCAGCTCAAACCTGGCCAGAAGCATCCGGGACAAAGTTTGGCTCCTACATGCAATCATGGAGCCCTCAAACCCAATCTAATCTATGATGATATCTATGTAGGACCCCTGGATCACAAAGGTGCGTCATCAAAGTTGTCCACCATGTGTGGTGCTGGAAAAGTCCACCACGTCAAGTGCTTGAAGTTATCCGTGCGTCATCCTGGAAGGTTCCAGCGCCCTCATGATTAACCCCGCCAGATCTGAACGTTCCGTCCGTGCCAGAAAAAAAGCTCACCCCGTGGAACGCGCCGTGGCACCTTCCCCAGCACGCAGCTCGGGCGCAAGACGCTGAAACGCTTCCTTTGCACCTTGGGAATGTATGGAAAAGGCGGCCGGGTTTTGACCTACTACAACCTCCGCTCTTCGCTTCGTCTCTTCATGACAAGTGGCGGGGATGCGGCGTCTTGTCAGGATGAACTAAGAGAGCCAGTTGCTTCAAAGACACTTTAGTGCCTGAGGCAGCACGGCTTTGTTCTTATGCATTTCAAGTCATTGCAATGGTGCATTGGGTTCCTACCCTCAAAAGGTGTGACCCCTTTCTCCCTTTCAGGCACTGACATCCGAAAACTCCAAATTTGCAAGTAGATCAAGTAGCTGCATACTTGTACAATTTCCTGGGTGGATTCCATGTGTCAAGCAGCAAGTTGGAAAGTACATCATAGTCCATGAACATTCCTGCCAGAATGCTATCTATGACGTCTGTGAGCCCCTCAGCAGCAAGCCAAAACAGGGTAGCCAAAAGTTTCATCTCCTCTTCTCGGCTTTAAGCGTGCCATATTATAGGATTTATAAGATAGAACTCTCACTTGACCTAATGACCATTCTACATTGTCACTAATTAACTGACGCTCGAACCAGCAAGATCGACTTGGACAAATCCCATTGTTGCAGTCCCACCCCTGCCCGGTCTGGCAAAAGGAAAGCTGCCTCTGGCCCCAGCTGCAAGGATGGAACGAAGCGCGGTCACGGTGCTTGGTGCTTCCTTAAAGATGTGGCGCATCACCCATTGGCTGGAGATTCCTCTGCTTTTGGGCCCCGGAGAGGCCCCAAGAGATCAAAGATGGTCCATCTTTGGAGCGAATTCACAGTTCTATCACGTGCTGCCATGCCATGCAATATAATGAACAGGAGAATTCAATTCGAGCTCCTACAAAATGGAAAACACGAGTCCCGTCCTCACCGAAAGACTGAGGTCATATTCTGGACATCTACATATTTAAATTCAGTACAACAAACATTCAATCCAAGCGGCGTCTTCACGAAGACCTCTGCCATCTCCTAGCTGCGCCAACTTTATCATACCCTGAAAGGTGCTTCAACCTTGTGACTCCACACACAAAGGCCCAACCTTTCACTGTAAATGCTGGACCAAAAATAGTTTGAGAACTCAGCTGCTCCATGGATGCTCGATGCAGCATGTCCCAACAAAGCAAACACATCTTAATCTTATGTACAGTCTTACAGGTTCCCAAAAAGAACCCGGCACGGGGTCCCTTGACTCAGGCTCACCAAACTCATACAGGACTTGAAGGGTGTGCCTGTCGCTCACATGCTGGTGGTCGTTCACACCTGAAAGATCTGTTTTGAATAATGTGAAACTGAATACAACTCAATATTTATGTATAACATTATACAACTGATGGTTCGTCAATCTTCACCTCATCACCTCTTCCAGGACAAGCGCCGGAATCACATCAGCAGCATCCACAATTAACAAAACAGCTTGTAGGTGCATGTAGACATTGAGGCTCTGCAAGTCGAAATACATAACCTGCCGTGCATCATCCATGTCTCTTAAACAGTTATTATAGTTACTAGTTCAACTGTAAGTGTTAACATTTTCTGCTATGGGATGCCATAAGTGTTGATCAACCTTTACATCTTCACACCTCCCCCACACCCCGGCTCCACGCCCGGCTTCACGCCTGAACTCAGGGCCGACCACACGAATAGAGCACGATCGGCACTCAAAGCCAGCGTGAGGTGCAGGGCAGTCGCCTGGGAGACCAACGGTCAGTGTGGTGACCGGTCGGATCGGGGCGGTTGGTGACTGGTGTCCGGAGGGGATGCGAAGCGATGCGACCGGGTCAAGGATAGGTGTGGGAAAGGGGAACAACGACCGGGTCGAGAGGAGTCAGTTTGGATGCTGGAAATGTATATGCAAACACGATGATGAATAATAAGTTGATATGTTGACAAAGGGATGCTTGTGCTTAGTTTGGGCTCCAACTTACTCTTCGTTTGCATGGCAGTGGGGTGGGGTGGGATAACAGGCTGACGGGGGAGAACTCATGAAGCTGCCAGAACACATGTGGGGTAAGCCCAAGCAATCCAAAACCAATAGGACTAGGACAGAATTCAGGTTGTGCCGTTATCCATCAATCTCTGGGATGACTATCACCTTACCATGAAATTCTGAATGCCGTGGCTATACTACTCCTAAATTTGTTTATGTGCATTCTTGATCATTCTTGAGCGACCATGGAAGACAGCAACTTGCACTTCGGACTGCACAGTCATCACCGCACGGTTCTCTTTCACGGCTTCTCCTTCCTTCCATGGCTTCTTCTTCTAGGCTCCAAATAGGTCTGATCGGTCTGCTCGGACACATCCAGGTTCATGTTCCCAGCCAAATGCCCCCCCCCAACTCATCATCCCGGTGGCCCTTTCGAAGGAATCGCTGCGACCTGCGCGGCAGAGTAGACGTTGCGAGCGTTTGGTGGGGGTGGAGACTTCCGTTCCACGGGCGAGGGGTGGGAGGTTGGACTGGAAAAGCAACTGCAAATGAAAAAGGTTGGACCAAGGAAGTATATGATGATGTTGACTCTGAAGCATTGCTTTCTCCCGTGCAAATGCATGTTCCACACTGGGCTTCCCCCAGTGTACATACAGTTGCAACTCGACATTCACGAGCTGGTGCACTTAGCCACGAGCCTTGTGCCAAATCCTCACGCGCAGCGTCCAGGCAGCTTAGAACCTGACGTGCCACGGCTTGCGTCCAAACTCCGTGCAGCGCCACGGGTGTTAGTCCATAGCCAGAAGCGAGAAGGTTCCCAGGATGAACTCTTGGATTGCATACTATTGAGAGGTTATCCTCTAGCCTATAGATACAACCCACCCAAAAAAAAACTCCTGCCATACGCAGCTACTACGCAAGTCATCCAGATTGAATATGATTGAATGCTACGTGGCTACGCATCTCAAATCATCTCAAGATCGGACTGAGAAGTAACTCCTGCCGTATGGCCTGAGGGTCCATAGGCCTTAGAGGTCATTGTAACTGCATTGATATATGATGTATAGGTAAGGCCCTTGAGACAGCAAAGGGTTCACCATCATGCAACCCTTCCCGTAAGGGTGGGTTTACCTACCATCTGAGGACGTAATTGGAGCTGGGCTTTCCTAACCTTATGCAAGGATCTCAGTGCAAAAGGCCACCTGGTGCACTCTTTGCTGCCCCTGGCTCTGCGTATTCTGAGAATTTGCCGCTTGTCTGGTTTCTGGCTGTTTGATGCTGCTTGGGCTTCCAGGTGGCATTGAGCAGCCAAACGTCACATTGTCTGGCGACAAAGAGGCCATGGGAGTGGGCCTCCTAAATCAGCCCCTTGTGGGTCAGGTGGCACGAATCGAAGATCCAAAAGCGTCACGAATCGAAGATCGGGTCGAATGCGAATCGAAGATCGGGTCGATCCATGACGTCGACCCCTCACGATCCCGCAGCTCGAAAAGGTTGAGAAACTGCCAGACTTCACCGCCCCTATTCATCTGGATCATCCCAGTAGTTTGGCCATCCCGATGCCAAGCACAAGACACATCAGCAGCTATCAGCAGCTTAGGGCAACAAGCACGGATTTCCGAACGCAAATCCCACGAAGATTCTGCACAGTGTAAAGCAGTTCTATACTCCCAAACACGCCATATACATGGAATATATGCCTAGATTATCCTAGATTGAACCCCTGTTCAACCACTGATTCAACCATCCCAATGTATGTAAACCATACCTCAGTCCCGCGGGACCTCGCCTCTTCGGGGTCGACGTCCGACTCGCGGGAACGGCGCTTGGAGTGGGGCTCCTGACGACTTCTTCGGTGAAACGGGCCACATGGAGAGTCGATCGCCTAGTCAATCGCCTAGAGAATCGCCACACGAAGTCTTTGTAAAGACACTGAGAGGCATGTCAACAAACTGCATGGAGGATGTTTCATGCCACAGAGCCACGAAAAAGCGATGGAAAACGCTTTTGAGGTCCTCTGAGAGCCGCTCCCTTTGCTTCTTCTGCCACTGCTTGCGCATATTTCTCTTCTCCCATTTCTCCCGGAGCTCAGCCCTGGCAATGAAACAATGGCTGCCGCCGCTCAAAGAATCCCCTAACAGGAGAGAAAATATTCCTCTTTATCAGCAGCACCTTTTCTCGCAAATGTACGTACTTTCTGCGATGCACACATCGATCTGTGGATTGGCCCAGCTAGGCCCGCGGAGATGTCCCCAAGCTGTGGGCCGCAAGCCTTCTGCCCCCCCCAAATCCCTGTCGGAGCGGCCACGCATTGATGAAGCTCGCATCATCCTGCACGGACGAATGTCACACCAAGTGGATGGCTAAAATGACATACAGTAAATCTACTATATTATCGACTTGCTCCTCGACAAGGCTCCTACGCGCTCGTCTATGCTTCTCCTCGACCTGTGAATGCACCTCCTACAAGTACTATATAGCCAAATTGTCTCCCAAACTGGTCGCGTTTTTGCCACTTCCTCCAGGCTCCCTGCGACCGCGTCCAAATCATGCCCGACCGCGGGTGCTGAACTTGAGCTGCGAACACGGATGAGCTCTTAGACGGGGCAACCAAAAAAAGGTTACCATGCGAAAGATGCTAAAACGTCGTAGTCTGTGGTCTTTGAACATCTTGGATGGGCCTTGCGGCGAAAAAACACATGCTTAAGCCGTAAGCCTATTCTTCCTCTGGGAAATGACACGGGGACATGGTCTGGCCACGTCACGTCCTGGCCGGGATTTTTGGCACACTTCAAGATGGACGTCGGTGATTCTCCCGAGCACTCTGGCACTCTCGCATCCCCTGGCCTGAACGTAGAAGTTCTTGCTGAGATCAGTGACCCATTTCTTCAACGTGGCTGCTGGCAGCCCATCTCCTCGGTCTAGATGCCACGAACGGACGGGACGGTCGAGCTTGTCAACCGAAACGGCACATACCCTCCGAGAAGGCTACCTTGTAAGACGTCTTCAGAAAAGGTCTAAAGTAGGCCTCAAAGCCTTGCAAGCCCCCCCCACGAGCTTCCGCATGCCCAAACACAAAATGGTCCTCGTCTTGCAGGAACCCTCACCGTGCTGAGCATGCATGGCAGCCACAGCCCTCCTCAAGGAAAAATAGAAACAGTCCCCGCATGCTGTTGGTAGAGGAAATTTGAGGAAATGAAACCTAATGACACCATCTTCCAGCAGGCTATTGTCCCCTTCCATCTCATCGCCACTCTCGTCGCCTTCCAGGCCAGGTGGCCCATTGCTTCTCGCACGCACGTCCGAACGGTGATATCATTCACTAATGCTCGTGGGCCTCTCGTGGAACAAGAGGCAAACGCTTTGGAGCTACCTCTTGTGGAAAACCATGGAGAACCATCAACACCCCCGAACATCCATATCCATGATTGACGACTTGGAGTACAATGTTCATCTCTATTCTATATCCATATCACATATTATATATATATATATATTTGTTTTATTAGTACGTGCCTTTAAATTCATCTGAGGTCGGGCCCCAGAAGGATTGATCAATTGCGGATTTCAGATTCAGCTCCCATTCTCAAGGGCCAATGAGATCAAAACACAGAGATCCCCAAAGCCCATCTTACTAAGTACTCCTTTAGCGAGTCCTCTGGCACATTTAAGCCCCGTGTGCCTTCCTTCTTCGCCTGCGAAGAGCTAGCCATGACGCCGACGTCGGCGGCGTAGCCAAGGGCGCCCGCAGCGGCCAGGCGGGAGCCGGCGGTGTGCAGCGTCTCGTTGCGACACAAATTGATGTGAGAAGTGTTCGTCCCCCTCTTTCAACTTGGAAGGCATGTTGAACCATGTTTTATATTAAAAAAGCAAAGAGGTTGTATGGTCTTGACGAGTGCCACCCTGAAGCATGTACCACCTCTCTGTCCATAGCACGGAATCCGGCGGCTTACGCAAACAAAACCCCCTCCCAGCGCCGATGTTGCTGCCTTGCCGGCTCACACAATATTTGGCATTATCAATGCTTTGAATCTAAGCTCGAGCCATTTGAGACTCGCTTCGGCTCCTCTCAAAGCGTTGTGGATTTCTTCCGCGCTTCTCATGAAACAGCATTGAAGGAGAGACTTCAACAAATCGGATGGCCAGGACCTGGCCTGGATGGTCAGCTTTTTGCAGAAAAGGTGTCCCCGAGTCCGTGCCCACATGCTGGACCATCCAAATGCAAGCGGGGTGAACAAACCTGGTGCAAGCGTCTTTTCTCTTGAGCTTTCTGCAGAGTACACCTGGCAACAGGTGCAAGCTAGGCTCCTCAAGCGGGCTTCGAGTAGATGGATGTACAGTAGATGGCGCAGTTGTCTGAAGAGGTGGGTAGCTAGCAAACAACCCTGTCAATATTGGTATAGTAACATCTATAGATATCTATATATAGTAGATCTTTATAACGTTATATATATATATATACATAGAACAATATATAACTATTATCTAGGCTTGCGCCATCTACTCCAACAAAAGCGGACCCAAGCGCTCTCATCGCGCGTTTTGGGGCTATCGTCTGAGGCGAGAGCGCTGGTGAAACCAGGCCATGCGGCCATGCTGCTCTCTTCAAATGGTGGGCCTCCTTGGACCATGTGCATTGCTCTGAAGGGTCTACGCGACTGGGACAGCTGGGAGGGCGACTGGGAGCAGCTGGGAGGTGGCATCGCAGTGGTGAATCCTTTGGCCTGAGATGGGTCCCAACAAAGCTCGTTCAACCACCGTCCCGAAAGGCCTGAGGGATGATTCCCAAGGCCTGAAAAGGCCTGAGTCTTTACTCAAGATCCCCAGCATCACAGTACATGACACCTACCAAATGGACCCAAAAGCCTGAGGACCACGAGTGTCTAAAATTCCAGTCATACCCTATAGGATGTGCCCTAGCAAGTCATTGCCATGAGATCGGCAGCGCTCCGAGACAGCCTCCACACCCTCCGCGTTGCGCGCAACTGGCGGCTTTTTCAGGAGATGTGCAGGTCTCGCCGGCAAAGAGGACAGGTGGCCGAACGTTGCAACCTGAGCGCCGAGGGACACCATGGGACGCTGCATCCCACGACGACGCAGCGTCTTGGACCTTGGAGTGGATCTGGCCTCAAGCTACTCAACACATACACAGCCCATTTCCCATACAGAGATACACTGTACACGCCGGAAGAATGAACATGGATCACAAGTGTCAGTAAACTCGTTTGATGATGCGATTTTAGCTGCCCCTGGGTGTACATAAACATTTAGCAAACTCTCAATCACAAGCTTTCCAGGCGCGAAGTTCGCCCATGCTCCATCCCAACGCCGCGCGCGAAATGTTTGCCTCTTCCCCCCCTAAGCTGCACGTCCAATCGTCCAATCGGTCTCCCGCCAGGTGCACCGGAACCATGTGACCGTGGGATCCATCATGTTCACCAAAGATACCCTGCCGGTAAAATCAAAAAAAACGGCTCCACATAGGTGGTCTACCACGGTACCACGCTGCCATCCACATCCCCATGTCCTTCCACATCCTGCCACAAATGTACTGAAATCCTTTTCACCGGGCTCATGTTCAATCATTTTCATGGGGTCAATTCACTCTTCCATGGAGCGTCTGGGAGTGGGCTAAACAGGAAACCTTCAGAAGACCTCCGGGCTATGCCCTCGTGCGAAAGCTAGGTTGCGTCCAAAAAGCCATTCTTTGGCACAAAGCTTGTGGAAGACGTGCCAGCTGTGACCATCGCTGTCACAAAGTAGGCAAATTTCTTGATCTGCTGTACCTGGCCAGAGTTGACAGCTCGAGCCAAACTCATGGTGACCTGCATTGTTTCTTGCATCCATCTACCCAACTCTAGTAGCGACCTGTAGTGACCTTGGATACCTCGGTTTGAGATTCCAAGCCCAGGGGCCGCCCCTTGGATACCTGAGAAGAGCCTGGAACATGTTGTTTGACTGTTTGACTGGTGTGGCCTTCTCCAGGCCATGCAAGTTGCTCCTCTCCAGACCAATCGCTGGAACACCGACGACTAAACCCGTTCTGGTCTGTTCTCATGCGGACTCCACCGAGTCCCGCCGGGTGCTCGAGCCGTCCCGGCCGGGCGTCACGCTGAGTCAGGCCGAACTCATGAGTAAGCGGCGTGTCGTTCAAGAAACCGCCCCACCTTGATGCTCCAGAGCAACCTCACACCTGGCAACATCACCCCCCCCCACATGCCGTGGCGAACTTGGCCCTCGCACGGAGAAAACCACACTGAACGCTGGAAAAGGAGTTCGATGTATATAGGTTCCGCAGCGCAGAAGTCATGCTTTACCCCTCGATCTGATCTAAAGATATTAGGAAGGTGGACAAGGGGAACAAAGATACAAGCAGTTCGGGTGAAATATCACCAATGGCTACCACCATCTGAGAGGATGTGATGCTGGCATGCTTTGGGAGAGCTAGTTGCTGTCCCACAGCCGGTCTTGAGTCCATCCAGCTTTCGTCAACATGGGGCGACGTAGCAAACGTAGCATTGAATGCAGCATCTTAGGACTTGATCCCAATGAGCATTTTAACAACCAGTACCAGTACACTACCTCCATTGAGCTGACAAACAAGTTCAACACCAAAACCACTCACCAAGGCAAAAGCGAACTTGAACTCTCCGTACCCAATGGTGCCCGCGGTGTCAGCTGAGGATGTTCGAGGCCCCCGCCCGGCCAGGCAAATGCTGCAGGTCCAGGATTCGTTGGGCTTTAAGCCCAAGGGGCAGCCACTCCCGGGTGAAACGCTGTCCTCAGAGGGCAGCTGTCTGACGTGTCTGACAGCAGGGTTGAAGTTGCAACACAGTTGGACCATCATCTCAACCAAGAAACCTGTCGCAACCCGGTGAAAGCATGGATTGCCCCACACCCTGAGTCACCGTGGGGGGGATTCAAAGTGTCCAACCAAAGAAGGGCAATCCCATTTGGGGTGAAGGGACAGCGCGAAACAAACCTCAAACAAGTTGTGAGGGGACACTGGCAAAAACTTGTTGATTAAGACATATTCTAAAACGTGCCGCTGAGAGAGCTCCTTTCTGTTGGGTAAATAGGGGTGACTGTGACAAACAGGACAACCAGTGTGAAACACACAAGATTGAGTTTCACCTTAGAATCCTTAGAATGGGTCGAGCCGAAATCACTTTTAGTATCTTTTAGTCGCCATAAAAGGAAACACACACATAACTGCCCAATTTGCCTCAGTTACATGTAGTGGGAGCAAAAATGAGGGTGGGCATGAGATTTCGACCTACCTGAAAACGAGCTAAAATAGAAGTCCGTCCCTTGACAGAATGATAATTGAGTATGTCAATAGGTTGAGCCGAACCACTGTTACAAGAATGCATACAAATTAACCGTGATGTTATCAAGATTGTTGTTGTGATTGTATAGACAGTATTTATTCAATCATGTCTCTATCTATAACATCATTCTTTATCACGTTCAACCTCTTTTGCTCTCCAACCATATTCCAAAATCGTACGACCTTGACATTGTCCTACACTTGTATGCAGAATCATCTTTGGCCTTGTTCTTTTTTCCGAATGTTTCTTCCAACATTCTGGAATCTGGAAACAACGTTTTATGAGGGATACTGTTTCAGCACAACCATTTAGAGATTATTATGCTTGAGCAGTTCATTCATTTTCATTCTACAGTGCAGGAACCCCCGGGAATAGGTTTGTTAGCAATTTGCAATTAAGAAAATGATGCCCGACGTTCACCGGTAATTTCACGGGGGATCATACATCATAGGCTACATATTGTTCTGTGCTCGCCACGCTGCCGCTGGAATTTGCCGTTCATCTAGCCACTTGGAAATGACGCCTGCAAAGGAAAGTCGTGTTGAAGGATCTGCTAGTGAGAGCGACTCGATCCAATTCCATGAGCGGCAAAGGCTTTGTGTGATCTCTTTTACTGAGAATGACTTGTCAAACTGTAGAACATTGTAGAACTCAATCTGCAGAACTCCTCCGCAGTTACAAGAGACATGGAACATCTCAGTTTGAAGCAAAGCAACGAAAACACACCGACCCAGCAACGAAAATAGAGTCACGATGCAAGGCCGCACCTACATCCAGCCCGGATTGCTGGCTCTGCCAGTTTTGCCCCAGGTGGCGTTCTAAGAAGTTGACCAAAGGTCCAGATTGTCCTGAGCACATCGCATCGCAAGCAGTTGCAGTTGTTTCTCAAAAACTTGCGAGTGCTCAAACGTGACCTGCCTGGGGCCCTGCCTGCACAACAAAAATATATCAATCTATAAAGTCAATATACAGTGGAATGTTCATGAATGTTCCATCGTTTGGATCAATGGGTTGCCTGGCTTTTGTGCCGTACCTGGTCCAATCAGCGCGAACATGACACCGATTCGAGTGATCCGGTGGCTTGGTGTCTCCCGAAAGGATGAGCCACTAGGCCCTAGGCACTTGGACCAGCCAGTCTCCCCGCTGCTCAGTTGCAACCAAAAGGCGCAAAATGTTGATGCCACCTGCAGGCCCACGCCATGAAAAACAACAATGACTTTCCGGAGGAATTTCTATCTTTCATGTGCGCAGTAGCCATGCGCACTCCCCACTTTCGAGTCTTTCGAGTGTCTTTGGGGAGAGGGTCACGCTGAACGCCAGGCTTGATAGAGCGAAGGAGCCAACTTCCGTCTTTTGGGGGGGGAACCCAAGAACCCAGTGATGACTCCATGAATTCTTCGTCTATGTCAACTGAGACTGGATGGTAGCTCCATCCCCAGTCACCCTCCAGGTCACTCAATGTGCCGATCGTCGGGCCGCT